CTTCAACAATCTTTAGCTACAATAACAAGTCATCTTGACCTTTTTCTAGTTACATTATTATTTTTAACCATTAATTAAAATGGTATCTATTCATCATAAGCATTTCAAACCATTGATTAAAATACTTCTTTCGACTACATGGGTTAACATATATTCACAATTTCAGTTATGAAGCGGGATCACAACAATTGTTGAAGGTGTCATACTTTGGACGAGATGTTGACCTGAGGTCCTGTGTGCTTCTTCAGGTGGACATTAAAGATCCCATGGCACAATTTGAAAAGAGAAGGTAGTTTCTCCTGGTATCCTGGCCAACAATCCCGCCAAAAAAGTGGTTATTTGTTTTGTGAGATACTGCTGATCTCCTTTATGAAATCCACCTGTTCACAATTGGGTTGCCATGTTTGCCTACATGGGAGTACATGGCCGAATCCTCGATTTTACTGGGAATGTGCACTCCAACTCCAAGATCCATGTAAGGGTTGACAGTGGACTAACTGAGCCCATCTCTCTGGAAAGTGGGGTAAGACAAGGCTGTCGATTGTCACCCACCCTGTTTGACGTGTTCATCAGTGCCGGGTTGAATGGCGAAGAGGAAGAAGGATTTGGTGCATCTGTTCCAGGCGTCTCTGACAGGATTGCAGTGCTTCTGCTTGCAGATGATATTGTGCTGCAAACGGACTCACCTGGGGACCTTCTGCGCTCTCCCAACATCTTGAACACTGGGCTAACCGGTGGGACATGGTGGTGGGGTCCCCAAGTGCGGAATCATGGTTCTGTGCAGCTCAAGGGAAGACATTGAGGCAATTGATAAGGGGCATCACTTGCAATTGTTGACTCTTATCGGTACCTCTGGGTTGTGGTGGATACCAATTTCAGCTTGGAAACTGTCCTGAAAGACTGCACTGAGAAAGGGCGAAGGGCACTTTGGTCAAGCTCATCCCACTTCAAGGCCAGCAAGAACCCAATGCAGGTTAAGCTTGTGGCACACAAGACCTGTGTGCAAAACAGTCCTCCTTTATGGATCTGAGCTCCTGGGGATGCAGTGGAGAGGCTTATTCTGGCCAATCTGCAAAGCCCAGGATCAAGCAGTCAGGTGGATTTGTTGCAAACAAACACAGGAAGCTGCTACAGGAAGTGAGGGCTCCGGCCTACACTGACCTGTCACTAAGCAACCTGGAGACAGATTCACAGCGGGCAGGTCTATTTGCCAAGGTCCCTCACATGAGGACCTGGATTGAGCAGCCGGTGCTGAGTAAGCCTGGTATGCAACATTGGACTTGGGGCTCAAGAACATCAAGGTGGTTGGTATGTCACAAGCTGTCGTGTAAAGGTCCTCCCACCACATTGAAGGCAGATGCCAGATAGCCAATGAGGAAACTATGAGGCTTGGGGACGACAGCTACTGGAAGGCGTTACCTGGAGTCCGAGTTTGTGAACACATGTTCGTACAACCAGTGCCTGGAATCCACCTCGATTGGTCTGTAGAGAGGCAAACAGCTACTGCTTGATGGAACCATTGTTCAATTGGAAAGGGATGTGCGCCCGAGCTGCGGACAGGAAGACAGTGTCAATGCTCTCACGCATTTCATGCTGAGATGTGCTGCCCACCGGGAAGCTCGCAGGGAATTCCTTGTAATAATAATAATAATCCTTGGATTTGATATAGCACCTTATCACGTCTTCAAAATAATTTTTTATTTTTATTTTGAACACAAAATAGGCGGCAGCCAGTTGCGCACAGGAGTGTCCCACAAACAGTGGTGGATTGAAGTGACCAATTTATTATTGTTTTAAGGGATTATTATCATGCGTGTGGAGTAAGGAAACTTGCCCA